CGCTGTGCCCTTGCTGACAGCCTCAAGCCCTGACCGAGCGCTCAGGCTGAATTTCGTGATGACCTTGGCCAGTCTCCTCCCCTTCCTAGGCTGCAGCTTTGCTTTTTTAAAAACTCATTAAAACTTTTAGCCCCGTCGGTTTCCTACACTTGGCTTAACCACGGGCTTTGGTGACGGCGGCAGAGAGAAGGGGTCCCTGGAGCAGAGCTCAGAGCTGGCAAATCCCTGCCTTGTCTCCCCCCATGTCCCCATCCTCCCTCCTCCATGCAAGTAATGAAGAGGAGGAAAACACCGATCCCAGCCTCCATCTCTGTAATAAAAGGATTAGTCAGGCGAGGATAGGAGGAAGCCCCAAAGCTGGCAGCAAAAATCTCCTTCCCTTATGACTTATAAACAGGGTTTTTTTATAAAAAAGTTATTAAAACCGAACAATATTTCTAATTTGCATTAGTTGGAAGTGTGGGGTGAACCTGCAGACAGAGGAGGGACGCAGGGCTCACCCAGGAAGGCAGAGGGGGAGACGGTGCCGTTGCTCCTGGCCACCATGACGCTGATGCCCGTCTCCACGAAGGGCACGGAGAAGTCCACGATCTCGGAGCGCTCCTCATTGATGGTGAGGGAGCCAATGGCCATGTCTGCGCGCTTGTAGTACACCTGGAGAAGGGGCAGATAGTCTTAGGATGGGCAGAGGGACCCACACTCCCTTCCCCAGGTATTTCCTCATCTCCAGCATCTCCAACCTTAAATTTTGTCTTTTTTCTTAATATTGTCTTCTTAAATGACCAGTGGCACAAACACAACCAGCTGTAGGGTCATAAATGCTCAGCTGACTCCCCTGCTCATTCTCCTCCACCAAGCCTCACCCATAAGCACCATGATTTACAATTACACCTCCCCCTCCTCACGCCGAGCTGTCCCCTGCCCAGGGACGAGTCCCACCACGGGCACCCCGATCCCATCTCAGCAGGGAAGCCCCAGGCAGGGGCATGCCCACCCCTACCTCACCAATCATGCCGTTCCAGACCCCACGGACGATCTTGCCGTGTTTGCCGTTGGTCACCAGGTAGAGGTCATAGGAGAACTTCACTGCCTTGGCCAGCTTCTTCAGGATGTCGATGCAGAAGCCCTTGCAGCACAGCTTGGTGTAGGGATCCGCGAGGCCATCGCCACTGAAAACACACCAGGAAAAATGGGTTGGACCAACCAAAGATGCTCTGAGCACCCTGGTGCCTCCTGGACACCACGTGCCCAGGGAGCGGTGGCCAAAATTGTGGAGCTCCATCCTCGCTGCTCACCTCTGGGAGGAGTTGGTCTGCTTGCGGCAGGGCACAGTGTTGCGCACGCAGACCCCGGTGCTGGGGTCCGTGTTCTCCACAATGACAAAGGGTCTCTCCTCCAGCGTGGCCACTGTCAGGTGGCGGTTGTCGGCCACGGGCTGCAGGAAGGAGCCGTAGCGGGGCCACACCGGGTACTTCATGTGGATGATGCCTTTCTCCCACTTGCCCACCTGCTCCCGAGGGAGAGCACACCGTCACCCTGGCGAGGGGCTCTGGGGGTCACAAACTTGTCCCAAAATACTTTAAACCAAAAATAAAAAACAACCCCAAAAAACTCTCTGTGCAGCTTGTTTCAGGTCTGGCTTTTTGGCTACTGTTCCCCGAGGGGGGGTGGGGGGCAGCTGTGTTTTGCCTTTTTTGGCACTTTTCAGCCAAATTGCAAGGAAAAAAAAGCAGTTCTTGGCAGAGCTTTGGTGCCTGGCATTGCCTCGAAGCTCCACCACGCTGCCATGGGTACCTTTGGTACCAGCCATGGCTTTTGCATGGGACAACCCTCCCCAAGGTGGGACCCCAGCCTGTGCATGGCTCCAGGCTCAGCCTACCCAGCCACCCCCCCCCTACTATTCCCATCCTGGGGGGTCCAGCGGTCCTACCATCTCCCAGAGACGGTGCTGGTTGAGCGAGATCACCACCATGGTGGGCCTGATCAGGTAGCCGCCTTCATTGAAGGAGAAGTCCCTGTGCTCCCACGTCACATTGAGGAGGTGCCTGGTGGGACACAGTACCCATGAGCCCCCAGCCGTGCAGCCTGGCCCCGTACAGCCCTCCTCCTCCAGCTCCAGCTGGGCTGTCATGGGTCCCATGGAGAGACATGGGGCTGAGAGCTGTGGACAAAGTTTAGCCCCTACACAAGGGGCAGTGGGGGGGCTGGAGAAAGCCCTGCCAGCAAGGAGGCACCGAGGATGGGCCGCTGCAGGGTTGAGGACGCACAGACTGCCACAGCAGCCCTGAGGTGCCACATCTGCACTGCAAAGCAGAGCTGTGAAACCCCCTCCCTGAGACCCCCGTGGGTCCTGAGCTGTGGAGAAACACGGGAAAAGACAAGGGCTGCTCTGGGGACATGCTCCAGGAGAAACCCAGCCAAGAGGCATGGACCACCAGCTGTGGCCCACAGCGAGCATCGTCCCCCTGTCCATCAGCTGCATCCTCCTCCTCCCCTGCCTCTTCCCTCTCTGTTTCCCCATTTCCCCATTTCACACCCACCCCAGCAGGTCCCTGGCCCTCACCGGTAGAAGCTGGTGTTGGCAGCGGTGGCACCGGCAGGGGCCCGGCAGTCCCGTCCCACCTCTGGGAGGTAGCCATGGGCCCGGAAGAAGCTGGCCGCCCCCATGGCGATGATGGCCACCCCATCCCGCACCTTCTGCCGCAGGCTCAGCTTCCAGCTCTCCGTCACCACGCTGATGAGGCCGACAGGGAAGGAGGTGGGTGGCACCTCCATGTTGCCCACCGTCAAGCTGGGCACAATCCAGACGTAGCCGGGCCCCACAAGGCCAGCTTGCTCCGCCATGGCGAAGAGGTACTCGGCCTCCTCTCGCGAGCAGTAGACAATGAGGACCTGGGCATCAACCTGCCGCAGGAGCCGCTGCGTCCTGGAGCTGCTCCGCTCCTGGCTCATCTCAAAGGTGAGCACCTCCTGCAGCTCCCAGCCAAAGTAGCTGGCGTCTGTGAAGGAGCGGATGACGTCCAGGAAGATGTTGTAGCCTGGGTAGAGGCTGGTGATGACAGCGAAGGAGCCCCAGTCGTATTCCTCCAGCACCTTGAAGATCACCTGGATTTGCTGCTCAATGGAGACACCCAACTGCAGGAAAGCCGAGCCAGGCTCCTGTGGGAGGAGAAGGGGTTAGGGGCTGCTCCAGCACCATGGTCCAGGTCTCTTGCACCTGTGAAAGCCACCTTGAATTTGCCATCACAAAGGGTTTGAGGGAGCCATGAACTGGCACGGTCCATGAGCCAGAGACACCCAAAATGGGACTGAGCCACGGGTGGTCTCCAAGGAAGCTCAGCCCAGGTCAAGCCCTGTGGCCTCTCCTCTGTTTCTCAGCTCGTTGACCAAAAATTCATCCATACTCCGAAGGAGACAAACAATCTCTCCTTAAACCAGGAGAGGGAGGGGGACAAGGGCTCTGCCAGGAGCATAAATCCCATCCCAACTCCAACTTGCTACCTGCTGCAGGAGCCCATGTGGCTCCTTCCCTCCCACCCCACCTCCCCAGCCATCTGGCCTCTCATTAGCAAACCTTAATTGATCTGATTCTGTCTTAAATGATTCAGTGAATGGCATTTGCAGAAGGTCACGTGCAAGCAACAGGGTTTTGCCACCCAGACCCCCCCCACCTCCAGAGAGGTAGTTTTTCCTATGAGGCCGGTGGCCTGGCCAGAGGGGTGAGCTCCAGGGAGTCCCACCTGGGCAGTGGGAGCTGCTGAGGACCTCAGACCCACGAGAGGAGGATGAGGAGGTCAAGCCTTCAGACAAGTCCCTCCACCACCCCAAAATACCCAACCCCTAGAGAAAGCTGCAGAAAACCACCCAGACCATGGCAAAGCCATGGCTGTTTTTTAGCCACTTG